GCACCCCGCACCTGCGGCAGAGCAAGGCGAGCCGGCCGCACTGGATTTAAAGATCATGTGAGAGGCTGAACATTCAGACTCCACATTAGCTGGGGCGTGGAGGGCACAGGCTGTGGTCGACTACCCTAAGACTCAAAGAGATGCCGGGAGATGTTAAGGCAACAAACGTCCTGACAGTTTTGGAATCGAACTAGTATTAATGCCTTATTCCTTCTCTCCCAAGGAGAAGGTCCCCATGGGAGCCGACGCGGACAAACTGATGCACGTGGAAGAGAAAGATGCTTTTATTGGCCGTTCGCGCATGCCCTCGGCAAACATTTGCTAAGCATCGATTTGCCCCCGCCTTCCCTCCTCTACCCCGTCTCCTGGGCACACACTGTCTGCGGCCCAGAAGCGTGGAGAGGGTACACACATGTACTTCCAGGTCAAACACGGTGTCCAGGCCTAAAAGTCACCACTCCTCAATTTCTGATGGGTCCTGAAGCCCTGATTCCGCCAGAGCAACGAGGATTAAAGGCTGGATTAACTTTGGATGAGCCAAACTGACCCCAACCGCCTTAAAAAGTGCCAGTTCTACACGTCCCCGTTCTCTCTTCACCTTCTAAGTCGTGAAGAAACCACGGTGATGCCCCGGGCTGCCCATCGCCGAGCGGGAGGCAGCCTGCTGCTCCTCGGCGAGGAAACGAAACCTGCCCTGGTTCCCGGGCTCTGCATCCAGTGGCCCTGTGTCATTTTCCCACATGTGCTCACAAAAAAACCCAAACGCCCCTCTCCACTTCAAACCCAAACCGGGAGAGATCTATACCAACACAAGATCACAGACCACACGCACCGCGGAGCCAGGCCACCTCGCCTCAGCCATTGCTGGACCCCTCTGTATACCAGTGTGGCATCAGGCCGCTACGTTTCCTAACTCCGGTGACCCTTGGGAAAAAGCTGTCTGCTCCACTGCTCCCAACACTGCCCTGCCCCTCCTCCGGACTGCACTGGCCCCTGACTTGGGCTTGAGCTTAAAAGTACATTCTGGTGTATGCGCCAGAAGGTTCACGCCACCACGATTTGAAAAGCAAAATCGGCCGCCACCAAACACACGCTGACAGGGAAACAGTAAAAGGTGCAGGGAACAGTCACAGAATGGACTGTTCGCCACGATGAGGAGCATCGCGTCGCCAGAGCAAACACCGGCACAGGCACGGCTCAGAGATCGCACACGCGCTCGGCACGGGGCTATCTTCGTAAAGTTCAAAACTGAACAAAACTAAATGGCACGTTATTTAGGGACACATGTCCATGTGGCAACTGCATTTAAAAAAGGGAGAGAAGAGGATGATTAGGCGGATGGCGGTGACTCGGGGGGGAGCCAGGGGCTGAGGAGAAGTGCACATCAGTCACATTTTACTTCTTAAATTGAGTGGTGAACTCGTGGGTACATCATTATGCTTTATAACTGACACACACGTTACGCATGTTCCTTTGTATATAGCAAAGTACATAATAAAAATTATCTTAAAAAAATCACCAGCCTGGGGCCTGGTAGTCCAAATCTTTCTTGCCACCATCCTGTGCTATAATCAGACTGAGGGGATGAGCATCGTGGAGGTTTGGGAGCGGTGTCCTGATGCGTGACCCTGGGCACGCTGCCCTGGTGCATGGCATGGCCCAGGAGGCCTAGGAAACAATCAGTGCCATCCACCGGCAGACGGGGGGCTGTGTAAGCCGCAGGCTCTGTCCCGTGGTGGGTTCGATCACGCAGACCACCGCTTCCCCCGGTCGTGGGAGCACAGGCGCGGGACGAAGGCAGCTGATCAGGAATCGCTTGGATCGAGAGGACTCTGCTGTCCTGCCCCTGACAGCCCCGGAGACACCCTGGGCTGTGTCTCTTCTGTCCATGATCACTGAGCATCATTAAAAAGTAAAAGACGAAAACGAAGCCTTTTCTTGCTCAAGTTAATCAGAGCAGGTGTCTGCTGACCGCACTCAAGGAAGCCTGGCTGACTTAGGACGAAACGCCATTTTATTAAAAATGCAGGCGCGGTTAGGCTTTGGCCGAGGCAGGTAAGAGGAGACGCCGGCAGAGACCGCTCAGGTGTGTTCTGCTTCCGCAGCCTACCTGTCCTCGCCCCACGGGTCTCACGTGCCTCCCCAGGCTTTCCAGAACACAGCACATTCCAGATGAACACGATTCATTCCAGACTAACCTCCAGAAAACACTTTCAACTCCTGTCTCCTCCCTCCGTCCTGCAGTGCCGCCTCCTGCCTACAGCACAGGCCCCACACCTCCCGCCACAGTCGCACGGGCAAGCATCGAAGGGGAGGTGGCAGCTGCTCCCCTCCCAGGTGAGAATTCCCTTTTACTTCAGAGGTGGGGGCGGCAGCAGCAAGTGGCCTAGGGACCCCCCCATCTAATAAATACCGTCTTTGAAGAGTAAAAGTAATTATGCTGAAAGTATGACTGACTCTCCACCTGGCAATCGGATTCTGAATCAGATCCAAATAAAGTAATTATGCTGAAAGTATGACTCTCCACCTGGCAATCGGATTCTGAATCAGATCACCCACTGCTATTCATGTATATAAGCACCACCATATGTGAATTCCCGTGTCACCTAAGAAAGGTAAGAACTAGCTGGCTAAATGCATAGTGATATGCATTAGCCACTCATGGGGGTAAAAATGGTGCATAAACAAAATGGGATTCTTCCTTTGAATTGAGGCCCTAATCAGTCTATTAAAACAGAAGCACCACGAGAAAGCTGATGAGGCTGATGGGTCATCATGAAATGAACGCCAGCTTCTTCAGGCGGAAGTCGCCCTCACACCTTAGACCTGTCTACCTATAACCCAGCCCTCTCTGCTCATTCCCTTCAGTGCCAAATTCCTACCTGCATCATGAAATGGAGCTCAACGACCCGGGCATAATTTGAACGAACCTATTTCACTGAGGACGCTTTCCTTTTTATCTCCATGAATCCGCTGGTCCCCCTCAAGGATGCTGAAAGCAGGATTTGTTTTAGCTAGAGGCTCTTAAAATTTCGACAATTTGTATGTTGAACTGAGAAAATATTTCATGTTCTGCAGACACATACACATTGTTTGCTTTTCCTATTATAAGAATACTGCATGATCTCATTCACCGTACTTTTTAACAGCAAGAATTTTAAAGAAGAGTAGCATGTTACCCGGATGAACTTTATTATTTTTTCCCCACGGATGAAATATCACAAACTTAACGAGCCCACTTTTCCTTTCTTGAGAGAAAAACGCATGCACGCACGAGTCTGTCCTCAGGTGAATGGCTTAAGTGAACAGTGCAGCTGATCCTGGGTGACTGGCTCTTTATGAGACTGTGCAAAAGTAAAACCCTAACGCTGCCTACGAGAGACTCGCTTCAGATGAAAAGACGCGCAGACGGAAGGTAAAGGGGTGGAAGAAGGTATTTCGTGACAGACCTGGAAGGTATTGTGCTGAATGGAGTCAGAGAAAGACAGATGCCCTGTGAGTTCACTGACGTGTAAACTCTAAAGAACGAGACAAACTCATAGATACAGAGAACATTTTGAGGGTCGCCAGATGGAAGAGGGGTTGGGGGAGATCGGTAAAAAACAGGGAAGGGATGAAGAAGCACAACATGGCAGTTACGAGACAGTCACAGCAGCAAAGGACAGCATAAGGAATTCGCCAGATGGAAGAGGGGTTGGGGGAGATCGGTAAAAAACAGGGAAGGGATGAAGAAGCACAACATGGCAGTTACGAGACAGTCACAGCAGCAAAGGACAGCATAAGGAATAGAGGGGTTGGGGGGGAGGTCTGTAAAAAACGGGGAAGGGATGAAGAAGCACAACATGGCAGTTACAAGACAGTCACAGCAGCAAAGGACAGCATAAGGAATACAGTCAAGAATATTGTGATGACTATGTACGGGTATGAGATTTACTGGGGTGATCACTTAGTGAGATATACAGATGTCTAATCGCTGCGACGCACACCTGAAACCAATGTAATATTGTATGCCGACTATAACTGAAAAATAAAAAATGTTATTAAAACAAAAAAAAACAAGAGTAAAACGAAGTACGGGGAGTTCCCGCACACCTGAAACCAATATAATGTTGTATGCCGACTATAACTGAAAAGTAAAAAATGTTATTAAAACAAAAAAAACAAGAGTAAAACGAAGTACGGGGAGTTCACACCAGGCCCCAAAGCAGCAGTCACGGACAAGACGTAAAACCCCCAGCTCCTGAAGCTCACCTCCCTGATACCCACCAAAAACATCCTTCTCATTCAGTTAGTCCCGCCTTCCATAAAACGTGGTGGTTCCACAAAACCGGTGTTCGGAAAAGAATTCTTCAAGTGCGTATCATCACACGGAGCCTCAGAAAAGCTTCTCCTTGCTGCAGTCCCCGTGCCTCTCTAATCACTAACACACGCCCACATTGTTAACCCACTCTATCTCCCCGGTGCACCTGTCTTCGGGGGATTCATGCAAACGCAAGCGTCAGTGGGGAGGGCGTGAGGCCAACTTGCTCAGCGCAAACCGACATCAGAAACAAAAGGGGAAGCTGTCCGTGGTAAGGTCTCAGAACACTTTCTTGGAATACATGAAGGATTTTATACACGATTTCCCACAGAACCCGGCTCTGTTTTATGAGGGTGTTTTCTGTAGCAGGGCCCACTAGCTGAGCATCTCTACTCTCTCTGGAATAACATGAAACAGATTCCCCAAAGCACCGCGAACTGACTTACAGGAGAGATGGTCCTGTAGTATCTTTCCTCTCCGGTTAACTCTCAGAGGAGCGCGGCGATTCTGCTCAAAAGCAAGGTTTCAAAAGTGCAGAATTTTTAACCTACACAATGTCAGTAAAGGGAACTGTGATGCTGTGAGCCATCGAACTGGGCTTTAATTTCCACTCTGCACACCCTCCGACAGAACCAGAGATTTAATCTCGAGGCCAATCTTTCTTGCACACGTCCCTACGAATGGGTCAGGCAGAACTCACCAGGAGCATCGCAGAGGTTCCATTGGGTCTGGATAAGTGGATGGACATTTCGGGAAACATCCTGTCAATGCGACTGATCACGTCGTCAACATACCTAAGTGGGAGGAAGAAGCACACGCGTAAGAACAGAGCCCCAGTCAAAGAGACGAGTCTACAGCGCACTACGCACTTCCCTTCCCAATTTAGTTTTTTATTAACGAAGGTGTTTTTAAGAAGGTGAATGGGATTATGTGGCTTTTCACAAAAAATCCTACTCCCCTGCTGTTCCTCCTCCCGCCTTCCAGAGCCAACCATTTTTGAGTGATTTCTCTGGTATTTCTGCATAATGTGTTTTTAATGTCAGTTCTGGCTTTTTCATTTGAAAACATGACCTAGTGACTTTCTTCTTCAGGAAATCAGAATTGAGCTCTGTCACCTTCCCTGTCTCTAGGCTCCAACTCCAGCAGCTCCTCCCTCCGTCCTTTGGTGTAGAAATGGCAGCTGCTTCCTGTTGCTGCTCAGCTCTGGTCGCCTCTTTGCCTTAACTCACCAGGATACTCGATTGCCTGCATTAATTAAACTCCTTCTGCTTCCAATATCTGAAGTCGTTCCTATTTTCCTGGTCGGACTCTACAAGTTATTTCACAATGTTTGCTCAAGCGTGAATTCGATGTTTACACCCTGAAATCTCTGCATAGGCTTTTTTGTAGCCGAACCACCTACCTGGTGGCTCACGAGGACATTTATTTACTTGTATATCCCACTGTTTTACCTTGATTTTCGCTTGATTCGTTTTTCTATGTACCTATTTCAATTTTACCCGTAAGCTCTCTACCCTGACTCGAAATCTTCTCTCGCTACAAATACATTAGGCGATCTATCGGTTCCATTGTTTCTTGGAGACAGTCCCCCGAAAGGGAGTCCTCTGATCCTTTGGCCCAGATGGAAGTCGCAGCTCTTAAAGTTTAATAATCATTGAGAAAACTGACTTTAAGGACTCAGCACGAGTTCACGGTGCATACTAAGGACCCATATGTTATCAATCCGCTTGGTAAATCGGGTAGTCTGCAAAAATGCCTCTCTCGGCGCGATGGATTCCGCCTCTGCTGGAGGCTCACGGTGAAGGCGCAAGCCCGCAGCTGACTGAACCGGGTCTGGCGCAGGGCCTTTGAGAATTAGAACCAAACCGGCGTTTGTGCCCACCGTCCAATCCCACTGGACACAAAGGGGATGTATAATACAACAGCTGAGATGCAAAACTATCTATTAGGGATTTGCATTGGATTTCATACCCCTTGGACGTGACAAATTAAATTACCCGTCCATTAGATCAGGGGCATATAAAAGCCCTGTGCTCTTGGGGGACAGGGACATTGGCTCTCCACTCACAACATGAAAAGGTTTTAGTCTGAAACCGAGAGGGCTCATGAGACAGCAGACAGCATGGTGCCATTTGTTAAAAAGTGAACAGCGACACATCAGCTCCGGAAGCCAGGGAGTGAGTGATCCCACTGATTAACTCACCGGGCTTTCCTCAGAGAGTGCCATGTGCAGTTTTAAAGTTCGAGTGGAAGAAGGAAGGTGAAAACCATGGAAGGCCGGGGGTAAGGAACTGAGACGGGCAGGGACGCGAGGTGGGGAGGCGCGCGGACGGCGCTGTGGGGAGAGGGCGGGGAGACGCCGATGCTTCACGTCTGCGAATGACCCGCACCGACTCAGAGCCGAGCGCGACCCGCCGTCTCTAGGAAGGACCAGAAGGTGAGGACGCGGCATTAAAAAGCCAACTAGCTCAGAAAGAACAGGAGGTATTTCTTAAAAGTAAGGCCCCACTCTGCTCATTTTTAAATGGTCTGGAAAACGATCTTCCCCGATGACTAAGAAAGAGGCCGACGAGGACGCCACATGTCACCTCCCACAGTGTCATGATAAACAACCTTGGCTCGAGGCTTAAAAGCTACAAAAGAGGTGAAAAGATGTAACTCATTTTTCATCGCCGCCTGACGTTACTTGAAGAGGCGGAAGACGCACGGGGAACTGCATGTCACAAGTTTACGCAGGTCGCCGGAAACGTTTCTGCACGTCCATGCTTCTTTCCTAAATCTGCGCGTGTGGTTTAAACCCAGGTACTTCGGACTCAGTGGGAAGCACAATCTGCCGTCTCGTGCGGATGGAGGTCACTGCGAAGCACGTGCTAAGGGGCGGGGGTGTGGGCAACCCTTCTGCAGCGACCCTCAATCAAAGCCGTGACAGCTCAGGCGGCGGAAAGCAGATGGATGTGCAGGGCCTCAGCACAAAGCTAATGTTGGGGTTTGCGCGCCCTCCTTGATTTCACAGTCCTTCCTGGAGACCGGGTCTCCGTGGCAGGCTGGGAAAACGGGGGCCCGGGGCAGGGGGGGGTGAAGCGGAGATTCCAGGGACCGCGTCCGGAGTGCAGATGTCTGGGCTTCACGCCGCTAACTGCCTGACTCCGCGTGCGCTCAGCGAGGGCCGGGTCTCCGTGTGGGCGGACGACGCGCGCCCCCGTCGTTTCCGGTTACTCTACTGGTGAGTTCTTCACGTGTGAAGGAAGACAGTGGCAGAAAGGAGTTTTCGGGGAAACCGTCGGCTGCCGACAGCAAAGTGGAGAGGTCCGACGAAGCTCAGGAAAGGCAATCCAAAGTTTTCATTAAGAGAAAATAGGTTTCAAGGAGACTGTTTTTTACTCACGTGCCTAACATAAAGGAGATGCAAATTTCCTTTTTACAGGTGACATTATGTGTTTGCCAAAAAGAGAAAGTCAGCTGTGTCTTAACTGAGGAAAACAATGTCTAAAGCTTAGCAGCAGAAATCAAAACATTTCATTTCCAAGCAGAGCCAACCTTCAGAGCGCACACCCCCCACGGGGGATTTGACAGCAACACGGAGCTGGAGACAAACGACTCTTCTTCCTGCCGAGGCTGGCGGTGGGTACGGGAGGTGGTCCCTGTCCCACATACCCGCTCTCTGGCATTGCCTCTCAGAATGCTGCCCCAGGCCGGGTGCCCGCGGCCGTGCGGGCAGGGCTGGGGACAGGCAGGACGCCGTGCTGTCCTCCCACGCCTCCGCCATATGCTCCACTCTGCTCTGCGGCAGGATCAATTACTTTAATTTTTACCTTTGGAATATAGGCAAACAAGCAGCAACACAGCAGTGGTGACTAGTTTACACTTGAGCAGACGCGACGTGGAAAGACATTAATTTAGTGCCAAATTGAGCAGTGAGTCACAATTTGCACATATCTGTCAACCTGTTAAGAGGGTAATAACTTGGAAAGATTGCAGCAGAGTGTGCTTGGTTCTCCTCCTTGAAGCTCTCAGCTGATGGGTGGGCCTGACGGTCCGGGACCCGGGTAGAAACACAAAGCCCTGGACAGCGCCGGTCCAGATCCAGGTGTGACTCATCATGTGAGTATTTTCAGGCAGAAAGTTAACTCAAGCAACCAGAGAACCCCGTCTCCCTGCCCTGCTCCCCAGCTCCAGTCAGATTCTCAGTGGTTTCCGATCTAATGTCTCCCAGTACAAACCAACCGATTCCTCTCGAAGTTCCTAAAGGCTTCCTTAGGACTCAGCTTCGGTCTCAGCCACTCCGCCGTCTCTGCCGCATCAGGTACAGTCATGCCATTCTCAGATTTCTAACATAAATTTCCGAAGCCCTTAAACCTTGATTTCTTCTGATCTTCTCCAAGTAGCAGGCCCGGACTGCTCCTTCAGATGTCCTTAATCAGAGAATTAAAGAACTGGGGCTTCAGAGGTCCTCTCATCCAATGTCCCCATCAATCGAGGAATTTACCAGCATCTCCGTGAGGTGATCTGCATAAACACCCCGGTAACACCTCACACGGCAACCCCTTGTTCTGCGGACTGCTGCGTTGTTTCGAATCCACCCACCAGCATCTCCACCCGAATACCCTACTTCCGCCTCGTGGAATGACACGCGAGTATCTCCCCCAAAGCCTACAGGCTTTCTGCAAGCATGCAAAAGACTGTTGGGTTTTGTGGTTTCTTTTATCAGCATTTTAAACTCTTTCTCGGGTTACAGATCGCTTTGAAAATGTACCGAAAACTAAAAGATGCACCTGCACAAAATTCTACAGACCACTTCCTGCAGTTCTTAAGTCCATTAAAGTCCATTCACGGACCCCAAGTTCAGACGACTGCTCTAGACCTGTTCTGGAACTGAGGCATCTGGTCTCTTCTTGGTTCCTTCATGAAAGGTCAATTGCATTTTTCAATACAGCTATCCTCACTTTAGAAAAAAAAAGTAGGGTACAGCCTAGAAGTGAACACAACAGAGGTAGTATGGGGGTACAATGAATCTCATAGTTCTAGTAATCTTAAAATCACGCTTCCGTGATGGAGTCCAAGGTTAGTTTTTGTTGTTTTGGTTTTTAAACAACTGTCTCTTATACTGTTGATCTTTCCAACAAGGACCTGCTTCCACGACCTTCGAGGGCATCTGCCAGTGGCAGCCACCTCTGCTCTCCAAAGCCACATTCGCCTGTGTTTTAAAGAAGCTCCTTGCTGTACGAGCTCCTCGCATCGCTGCCTGAGGCACGGCTCAGTGCGAACTCAAGTCCCAAGTCCTCAGAAGGCCATGGACGCCCTGCCGTGCAGCTGCTGCTCCTGCCCCAGCCGGCGCCGCCCTGCACACTGCACACACTCTGCATCCTCAGCCTGCTCACAACTCCTCCCACCCCCGTGCCCAGCTCAGGCCTGCTCACGCGTCAGGTCTTTGCGCCAGCTTAAATGACACTTCCTCAGGGAAGTGACACTTTCTGACACTCTCCTCAGCCCCCCAGGAGTCAGTGCACTTCGTCTTCCCTCTTATGGTACTTTTTCATTGTCTTCTGTATTTCCTGTCTTAATGCAATTAAGCAGTTTTCCCAGCGATCATTTGGTTAATGTCTATCTCCCCAACAGGATTCTCCACGGGGTCACATGACTACCTCCTACAATGCTGAATCCTGGCACACTGCCACGGGGCCTGGGACCTGTTAGGCACTCCTTAAATATTTGCAGAGTAAGCAAAACATTGAAAGTCGGCCGTGAGGACCCAGGTTAGGCAGTTAAGAAAACAACTTAAACGCAAAGTTCTCTG